TTGACCGAGCTCTTCACAGAGGTGTTCAAGCATAGTAAGGAGTTCCTGGCAAAGCAAGACACGAACAATCGGCGCCTCAAGCCTCAAGCATGGCTGTCCCGGCTGCCGCGGCCCTGGATGTGACCCTCGATGGCGAAAAACGGGGATGGAGGAGGATGGAAAGGGAGGAGGAAGTGGAGCGTGGAGAGAGGAAAGGGAGGAAGAGGAGGAGGAGGAGGAACAGGAGGAGGAGGAGGAGGAGCAGAGGGTGGAATGGGAAGAGGGGGAGGAGGAGGGGAGAGGAGGAGGAGAGGAGGAGGAGGAGGAGGAGGAGGAGGAGGAGGAGGAGGAGGAAGGAGGAGGAGGAGGAGGAGGAGGAGGAGGAGATGGAGATGGAGGAGGAGGAGGAGGAGCAGGACGAGGACGAGGACGAGGACGAGAACGAGGAGGAGGAGGAGGAGAGGAGGAGGAGGAGGAGGAGGAGAGGACGAGGACGAGGACGAGGAGCGGCAAGGGAGGGAGAGGGGGGAGGAGGAGGAGGAGGAGGAGGAGGAGGAGGAGGAGGAGGAGGAGGAGGAGGAGGAGGAGGAGGAGGAGGAAGAGGAACACGAGGAGGAGGAGGAAGAGGAACACGAGGAGGAGGAGGAGGAGGAGGAGGAGGAGGAGGAGGAGAAGGAAGAGGAGGAGAAGGAGGAGGGGGAGGAGGAGGACGCCTACCAACGGGCGAGTGGTGGACGGGTCGACGGCCCAGGACAAAACGAGCTGGCGAGGCTCGGGGGGCGAGGCAAGTTGCCGCGAGCCACGGGCCCCCGCGGGCGGGAACCCGGCCGGAGCCAGCACGTTTGACAACCGAAACGTGCACACCCATACCCGTAGGATGGTCGGAGGGAGGACTGGCCAGGGGCATGGGCGCGGGCTGTCGGATTCTGGGGGGGGGGCCCCGTGCACACTGGGGCCCCCCTTCGACAACTCGCACCCGTACAGCAGGTTCGCGTCGTGTCCACCGAGGGCGACCCCGCCGCCCGCGTTCAACGCCGAACGCCGCCGGCGACCCGAAAACAGTCGATGTTGAACGCTCGGACTTTGCGGAAACGGCCGATCGTTCAAGGATGAACGATCCCCGCAATGCCAGGAACCAGCGCCGATGTCGGCGCGACACGACTCTGCCGTACCCGTAGCAAGGTCGGAGGGAGGAGGACCGGCTATGGGTACGGGTGCAGATGGTCGGACCCAGCGGGGGGCTCTCGTTCGAACGGGGGCCCCCGTCCGACAATCCGCACCCATAGCCCCGTCCGTCACACCTATGGGTATGGGTGCGTGTCATTCGTTCGTCGATCTGGGCGAGCCGGCTCGGCCCTGCGGGACGACCGCGCGCGCGACTTCGGAAGGCGCCCCACAAACGTTCGCAGGGTCGTCGGGCCAGCGGATGGCGAACGACCTCCATGGTTTACCCGCCAGTGAAGGGGAAAACCGATGCCCGGGGAGTTCATCGGCGGCCAGCACACGGGGGAAGTGAGAAGGAGAAGGCCTTTCCAGAAGGCGGCGGGATTTTCAGAAACCTTCCTGCCTTCCCAGAGGTTTTCTGTGTCCTCAGGGAAGGTCGAGACAATTTGTCAGAAGGCCGGGTGACGTTTGAGCCTTCTGAGAAGGCCCTCTGTCGACTACGCGTAAGAGTGATCCTTCGCTGGTCCCACCTTTGGTGCGGCCCAACGGCCCAACGGGGTCCCCCGATCGCCAAACGCGGTGCGATAGTAGCGTCTCGCGCGCTTGTGTGTGGCCCCCCCGCAGCCCCCTAAAAAAACCGCGCACCAAAGGCCACTCTTGCTCAGGGTCGCTCCTGCGTGCAGTCGATTATCATTCTCACTCCCCCCCCCGGGCTCGCCGCCGACTTCGGTCCGAAGACTCTGACGACGACCCGTACCGCAGTCGCTCTCCGAGCGTGGAGCCCATGGGCCACTGCTCCGCGGTGGGGGCGCCCACCGCCGGGGGCCCTCGGGGAGCCCGAGCGGGGCCGGGGGAGCCGCGCTGGGGCGTCATCCGACATTCACCGAGCACGTTCCACGATTCGCAGATTGCCTACTCGTCGAATCCCCGAATCATCAGGGCTGGGGGCGGTCAGGGATAGCTGCACGTTCGCGCTCCGGGGGCACAAGCCAGAGTCACCATGTCCAACCCTCCCAAGTCACCAGGGCTGGGGGCAGTCAGGGGTAATTGCAGATTCGCGCCTCGGGGGCCCAAACAGGAGTCACCCCGGACAGCAATTATTCGGAGCTGGGGGGATTCTGGCTGGAGAAGAGGAGGCCAGCCGAGTGAATCTGACTGGCAGAGTGGAAGCCGGCAGGGAGATTCCCAGTGAACGGGGTCGAAGACGGGCATGCGGGGAAGACGACCTACGGCTGAGCGACCAGCGCCGCGGCGCCCCGCAGGCCCGCCGAATCAATGAAGGCTACGTCGAACTACATCAGGAATGGCACCAACTCGGACAGGCTGCGCTGCAAAACGTTGTTGGGGTTGGCGCGCCCTGGCGAGGCGTGCCGGAGGCTTGCTTGCGAGGGCGAAGTTGGCTTCGTAGCCCACCCAGGGGGGGCTCGTTCCCATTGCTCCCCCCCTGCCAGCAATACCTGCTGTCCTGGCTGGGGGGTCCGTTTGGCCCTGGCCAGAGCAGCTGTCTGACCTACTGCCGTTGCCGCTGGTGGCGACAGCAACTGGCAGAGGGTCAAGAGCGCAGTTCGCGTTCAGCTGAGAACAGGCGCTCGCGCCTCGTGCTATTCCTTTCAGCTTAGCGGACATCTTGGTAGTGAGCTATAGCGTACCAGCACCGCAAGGGTCCTTCTGGTAAACCTCGGGATGAAGGAAGAAGACGAACTTAAGCTACGAGACAATGGAAAGGACGTACTTACCAACCTGTCACAGTTGGTTGATCATCTGGCAAAACACTATCTACTCATCATGTCTTTTCCTCCTGCCATTTTCTGCCTCCTGCCCCTCTGGCCTCCTCTTCCCCCCCTTCTCCCAGACGTCCCATCCACCCCCTCCCTCCTCATCATGTTCCCTCCCCCCTCCTCAGTATTCCTCGCCTTCCCTCTTCCTCATCCTGTCGCCTTGTCCCTTTGGTGCCCTCGTGCTAGATATTCTGAGTGTCATGTTTTTTCCCAACAATCCTGTGGTATAGGGGCATCGTTTTGAAGAGACAGCGCCCCGCGCTCCTCTCCTCTCCTCTCCTCTCCTCTCCTCTCCTCTCCTCTCCTCTCCTCTCCTCTCCTCTCCTCTCCTCTCCTCTCCTCTCCTCTCCTCCTCCCCCTCCTCCCTCCCCCCCTCCTTGCCTCTGCCCTCCGCATGTATCTGTTTCGCACACCCCTCACACGCTTCGTGGCCCCAGATGGAGCTCCACAGAAGGCCCCAGTGGCAAAGTTCGCATGGCGGCCCCGCCAAATTTCGGCGCACCCCTCGCACGCTTCGTGCCCCCATGGGCGCTCCAGCAAAGGCCCCAGTGGTAAAATTCGCATGGCGGTCCCGCCCGATTTCGGCGCACCCCTATGTTTCGTGGCCCCACAGGCAGCTCCACCACAGGCCCCAGTGGCAGGGTTCGCATGGCGGCCCCGCCCGATTTCGGCGCACCCCACACACGTTTCGTGGTCCCATGGGCAGCTCCACTGGAGGCCCCAGTGGCAAAGTTCGCATCGTGGTCCTATAAGGAGCTCCGCCGGTGGCCCCCGTGGCAAAGTTCGCATGATGGCCCCGCCCCATTCCAGCGCACCCTCAGACGCTCCGTGGCCCCATGGGGAGCTCCGCCGAAGACCCCCGTGGCAGCGTTCGCATGGCGCCACCGCAATTTCGGCGCACCCCTCGCACGCTTCGTGGCCCCTCAGGGAGCTCCAGCGAAGGCCCCAGTGGCAGGCTTCGCTTGGCGGCCCCGCCCCAAGTTCGGCGCACCCCTCACGCGCTTCGTGGCCCCTTGGGGAGCTCCGCCGGAGGCCCCCGTGGCCAAGTTCGCATGGCGGCCCCGCCCCATTTTGGTGAACTCTCACACGTTGCATGGACTCATGGGGAGCTCCGCAAGAGGCCCCCGTGGCCAAGTTCGCATGGCGGCACCACCCCATTTCGGCGCACCCCTCACACGCTTCGTGGCCCCTTGGGGAGCTCCGCCGGAGGCCCCCGTGGCAAAGATCGCATGACGGCCCTGCCCCATTCCAGCGCACCCCTCACACGTTCCATGGCCCCATAGGGAGCTCCACCGAAGGCCCCAGTGGCAGGGTTCGCCTGGCGCCACCGCCCAATTTCGGCACACCCCTCACACGTTCCGTGGCCCCATGGGGAGCTCCAGCGAAGGCCCCAGTGGCAGGGTTCGCTTGGCGCCACCGCACCAATTTCGGCACACCCCTCACGCGCTTCATGGCCCCACAGGGAGCTCCACAAAAAGCCCCTGTGGCAGGGTTCGCATGGCGCCACCGCACCCATTTCGGCACACCCCTCACGCGTTTCGTGGCCCCACAGGGAGCTCCACCGAAGGCGGTGCTCACAACTGCAATACTCACCATTGCATATGGTTGGGTCCCTCGCCAGTATAATTGCGTTTTGCACGGCTGTGTTGTATAGTTCCGTTGTCGTGCTCACTACGTGGTGTGCGTTATGTTGCATTATTCTGCGTCGAGTCGCATGTCTGGTTCGATGGTATAGGTGCTGGTTCTGGAGCCGTACCCTCGGTGGCGAGTTCGCTCCTCCTCTTCCTCCTCTTTTTCCTCCTCCTCCTCCTCCTCTTTTTCCTCCTCCTCCTCTTTTTCCTCCTCTTTTTTCAACATTTTTCCTCATTTTTCCTCCTCTTCCTCCTCTTTTTCCTCCTCCTCCTCCTCCTCCTCCTCCCCCTTCACTCCTTCCCTCTCGTTCCCCATCCCCCTCCGACGGCGACGACACAGGCGGCGGCGAAGATGGAGACGGCGACGACATCCACGTGGACGACGACGACAATGCGAGGCAGGCTCGACGGGGCGCGGCGGCGGCACGAGAGAGACACACCTCCCCAGTGGCACAGCGGCAAGTGGTTGTCCGCGTGGGCGCAGAGCCTCGTCGGGGAGAACAAGGCGGGGCGAGCCCCGTTCCTCCTCCTCCTCCTCCTCCTCCTCCGTTCCTCCTGCTCTTCTTCCTCCTCCTCCTCCTCCATCCCCTTCATAAATCCAGCTGCCTGCGACAAGTCCCGCCACCGTGCCAGCCCAGCATTCTGGTTGGCGACTGGTCGAGGGGCTCGGGTGATGATGATGATGATGATGATGATGATGATGATGATGATGATGATGATGATGATGATGATGATGATGATGATGATGATGGTGATGGTGATGGTGATGGTGATGGTGATGGTGATGGTGATGGTGATGGTGATGGTGATGGTGATGGTGATGGTGATGGTGGTGATAATGATGGTGGTGGTGATGATGATGCTGGTGATGATGCTGATGGTGATGATGATGCTGATGATGGTGATGATGATGACAAGGAGGGGGAGGAGGAGGAGGAGGAGGAGGAGGAGGAGGACGTCGACGATAATGCTGGGGATGTTGCTAATCGTGATGTTGATGATGGTGGTGGTCGTGATGGTGGTGACGGTGATGCTGATAATGATGATTGATGATGGTGGTGATGGTGCTGATGTTTATGCTGATGATGGGGATGAACATTCGGATGATAATGCGGATTACGATGGTGTTGCTGATGTTGCAAATGATGTTGATGAGGAGGAGGAGAGTGAGGAGGAGGAGGAGGAGGAGGAGGAGGAGGAGCAAGAGGAGGGGGCGGAATCGGAAGGCCGTCACATGTGACACATTTCGTTTTCATTATGTGCGGAGCTCTCATGAAACTCGTGTGGGCCGTCTTGGGGCTGTTTTGGCCTCCCGTGAGGCAGTCGGGGCGGCCCCGTAGGGGCCTTTCGGGCCGTCTTGAGGCCATCTTGGCCATGTGGTGGGTGCCTAGGGGCCGTCGTGGCTTATATCCTTTTCTACACTGCGGCCATCTGGAACTTCAGCGTGCGGTACTGATCATGATTCTTCTCCTGCTGGTCGTTGGGGGCCTCGATCTGCTACTCGATCTTCTGGTTCGTGATGTCCATCTGGTCGCTTTTGTGCCTCTGCTACTTGATCTGGTCGTGGTTGCTCTTAGCCTGGAGTAGCGCAAGCTTGATGGTGGCGATGGTTTCCCCTGTGGTGGTCGTCTCCGCGCCTGCCTCCGTTGCAGCTGTGCGGAGCCTGACGAACCCGTCGAGCTTGTCGTGGCACTTCTGCTTGAACTGTTTCGTGTCGGCACCTTTCTCGGGAGGCCGGGTCCAGTGCTGGTCGTTGATGGCGTCGCCGTAGTGGGCGATCATGGCCTGGTCGATCGTAGACCTGCTGTTTGATTTCATGTGGTCAGTGTCGTCCCTCTGGCGCCAGGGTCGTGTTGTCAATTCCTGCCGAGACGGAACCGGCAGGGCAGCACCTGGGCATCCTCGTTGAACGTGTTCGCGTTCTTGTTGATGATTCAGCTGCTGTGTGTGTTGTTGTTGCTTCTGCCAGCTGCTTCACACCTGCAGGACCAACACTTGTTCGGTACTGCTTTCTCACATTGTGTGCGACTCCATGTGTTTCTCTCTTCGTTCAGTTGCCTGTTCAACTCGTCCACTACCCCCGCCTCGGGTCCATGGCGAAGGAGCGCTGGGCGCTGTGGTGGGAGTCCAGGAGCTTCCTTGCGCTGGCGACCCTGAGGAGGGTTTTCACCTGCGCCTTCGCTGCACGCTCGCGCCTGTGCCAGGCGGGCTCGCGCGGCAGCGTAACCGTTGCCTGCGTGCGGCTGGCCGCAGCAATGTCGCGGGCCGCGGCTTGCGCAGGAGGCCAGGCTGCCTGGGTGGGCCCCCCTTGGCGTCTGGGCTTGGAGCTCCGCCCAGGTTCGGACCGAAATGGCCTTAGGAGGCGGAGGAGGAGAAAGAACGAGCAGGAGGAGGAGGAGGAGGAGGAGGAGGAGGAGGAGGCGATGGAAGAGAAAGACGAGGAGGGGCGCGGGTGTGTGAGTGTGTGTGTGTGTGTCTGTGTAGGTGTAGGTGTGGGTGTAGGTGTAGGTGCAGGTGTAGGTGTAGGTGTAGGTGTAGGTGTAGGTGTGGGTGTGGGTGTGGGTGTGGGTGTGAATGTAGGTGTAGGTGTAGGTGTAGGTGTAGGTGTAGGTGTAGGTGTAGGTGTAGGTGTAGGTGTAGGTGTAGGTGTAGGTGTAGGTGTAGGTGTAGGTGTAGGTGTAGGTGTAGGTGTAGGTGTGTGCGTGCGTCGTGTGTGTGTGTGTGTGTTTGTGTATGTGTTTGTGTGTTTGCGCGTGTGTGTGTGGTGTGTGTGTGTGTGTGTGTCTGCGTTTGTGCGTGCGTGCGTGTGCGTGCGTGCGTGTGTGTGTGTGTGATCTGTGCATTGCGTGTTGTGTGTGTGTGTTCTGTGTGTTGTGTTGTGTTGCGTTGTGTTGTGTGCGCGTGCGCGCGCGTGTGTGTGTGTGTGTGTGTGTCGAGTGTGTGTGTGTGTATAGTGTGTATTCTGTATTGTGTATCGGGTGTTGTTTGGGTTGTGTTGTGTGGTGTGTGCGCGCGCGTGTGTGTGTGTGTATGTTGAGTGTGTGTGTGTGTGTGTGTTGTGTGTCTGTGCGTGTGTGTCTGTGTGCGTGTGTCTGTGTGTGAGTGGTCGTGGGGTCCCCCCCCCTCTCGGGAGGAAGTGGCGACCCGCCAATTGGTGAGCCCCTTGGACACTGCCTGGGCCAGTTTGAGGGGGACTGTTTGTTTGGACTGCTCATGTGGTGAAAGGCCCCTTAGGGCTGTGACGCCCCACGGCGCGCGCCACCGCCCCAAAGGGCATAGGGCCTAAGGGCCAAGGCAGCCGGGGGTCGTCGGGCCAGCGCCCTTTGCTTGGCATCGCTCGGACGTGTGCATTTTTTCTGTGTGAGGATCATCGAGGAGCATCCTGGATCATCTTGCGACGAAGAAGCGCTCGAAGCCGAAGAATGCACGGGGAATGGACGTGAGCGGGTCGTGGACATCGGGGGCGAGGATGGGAGTCTCCCCCCTCTCCTTCTCTCCCTCTCTCTACTGCTCTACTTCTCTATTTCTCTCTCTCTCTCACTCTCTCTCTCAGGCTCGACGTGGGCCCCAGGGGCGGGCTTGTCATCCCGAGGCGTCACTTGATGGCCCTGGGGCCCGTCGGCCCTTGGCTATTGGAGGTCGCGCGTAAGCGCCCTCTTCTCCACACGCGGAGTGCCGCACTGGCGGCCCGCGCAAGCCGCGGCGTCAGATCGATTCGTCATCTTGCGCAAGACCCGCCTGCTTGAGGAGGGGGAGGAGGAGGAGGAGGAGGAGGAGGAGGAGGAGGAGGAGGAGGAGGAGGAGGAAGAGGAGCGAGGAGGAGGAGGAGGAGGAAGAGGAGCGAGGAGGAGGAGGAAGAGGAGTAGAGGTGCCACACGTCTCCCGCCGCGAGCTCCCCACGACGCGGGGGGGGCCTACGGCCCGACCGAGGCATAAAAAAGTCGAGCTTGGTTCGGGGCGGGGGCCCCGTTGTTCTTCGTGCCCGCTGTGTGTTGTGCCTCCCGGCGGAGGGCACCCTCGAATGTCCCTTCGGTCGGTATCGTTTATCCGACCCCCATCCCCATCCCCGTCCCCTTCGAGACCCCCACCAAATTACCACCCAAGTTGGGGATACACCCACCGAAACCCGGAGGGAACGACCTATATCGCCATCTAGGGGGAGAAGTCGGCCAGTGGGGCCCAGGCCACGCCGCTGGGGATGGGGATCGGTTAAACGATACTCATTCGGCCTGGGCTGGCGGGGGGGTCTCGTGTTCTTGAGGGGTGTTCTGTCCCGGGTCTTGCTGCAGCTCCGGACGTCAAACATCGGCCCCCAGACCTGTTCAGGGGTGCGCTTTGGCCGGGAAGTCGACCGTACTCGTTCGGCGGAGGAGGAGGAGGAGGAGGAGCAGGAGGAGGAGGAGGAGAGAGGAGGAGAGAGGGAGGGAGGGAGGGACGGAGGGAGGGAGGCTCATGGGGCCCCTCTCCTCTGGTGTACGCCTGGTTCTCTGGAGGTGCGTCGGCCCTCGGGGCTTCGGCCACTGCTCCAGGGCCGAAGGGTCATACGTGATGCGGTCGGACCGAGGTAGGAGATCGAAGATCGAGGTCGGTTGAGCGTGTTTCTTGATTGCTTGGGGCATACTCTGAGCATTCTCTTAGGGTGGAGGGGTCATGGTGAAATCCATGTGGGCTCCTGCACCTCGAGAGTCAATCCGTCTTGTGATTCACCTTCTGCAGATTCAAGCCTCGAAAATCCATCGAAACGGCATTTCAGATTTCACCCTTTGCCCTCCACCCAAAGAAAATGCTCGGATAAGTGGCATTATAACCCACGGCCCCCCCCCCCTCCCCCCCCCCACACCTTCCCCCCCTATAACGTAACGCCCCTCCCCCACCACCCCTCAGTGCGCTCCGGGCACTGCCGCCGAGCGCACGGTGGGGGGGAGGCGTTAATCATGTACCCCCCCCCCTGGCCCCTCCCTCCCCCATGATGTCCACCGTCGCCGAAAGTGAAGAAACGAAGCAACGCGCTCGTTCAGGAAGGGTATCCTCATACTCTTCGCGCCCTCTGGATGCTCGTATGCATCCTGGGGGAGGGCACTCGCGAATGTTCTTTTGGTCTGGCCGGCGGAGGGCCTGAGGCTCCTGAGGGATGTCTTTCTGCCCCTGGTCTGGCCGTACGTGGTCGTCTCTGTGGACGGTCCCGGGCCAGGGCAGACGGCCTCCAGAGGCCGAGAAAGACGACAGGTCACAGCCGCCTCGATGTGTTTGTCGCCGACCAGGCCCAAAGATCCGCCGAGATCTTTCTTCGTCCCAAACCCAGGTCCCTAAACCCTAAACCCCGTCCGCCGCACAGGTCCCGACCGCCTCCCTGGGGGTAGTTTGTCGTCCCCGATGGTTTTTGATGGCCCTCGAAGGCCCGATAATGGCCCTCCGGGGTCGAGATCAAGGAACAACGGCTGGATTGAAAGCATCGAAGGACCGACCACGACGATGTTTAGTCAGGTATTGGCCCTTGTTTATGTTT